CGTACTTTTAAAAGCATTTTTTCTCGTAGTACTTTTTTTTCCACGGGGAAATGTCGGATTGCAATATGCGCGCGAGTTCCATTTATTCGGACAGGAATCACTTCTTTCGGAGTATTCTCGCTTCGATTCGCGAGCTTCAAATATTAGTCCTCAGTTATTGCACCAAGGTAGAAAGCTGAGCTCTCATTATTCGTATGCTTTTCATTCGAAAATTGTAAGAGCTTAAAGAATCTGAGAATTTCATGTCTGAAATATATCTACGATTTTTTTTCTGATAAATGTTTTATTAAAAAGTATAAACATATTTAAATTACTATTCTTTTAATTATGCTATAAAAAACACTAGTTTAGAATATACCGTTTTGCAATTGATATGTATATATATCATTTTAAAAGTATAAAAAAGAATGATACAGATTTAAAAACATTTTATATCAATTTTTAAAACTTTTTTTTTTATTATTACGTTAAAATTACAGTGAATTTATTATTATTTTTAGAAATGACTTATAAACTTTACTTATTAATTACGCAAAAGCTAAATCGTATGTTAATTAATCACGAATATATTAGAACTTGATGTATATGTATGATTCTTGGTTTCATTCCGGAGCCGTGAAAGCAATCTACGATTCATCTTCTTCCAAACTGATTCAGCATTTTTGCCGTTAAAATTGTCGAGGAAAAATCATCTTAGCTTTAACATTTAAAGTCAAGTTTGATACTCGTGGCCTTGAAATCAGCTATACAGATTAAATTCTCTTTAAAAAAACATTTTTTTCACACTAATGTAAAAAGTTATTCGTATATTATTTTAGTTTAGGAAAGATTAAGTCAAAATTTATAACACAAGGGATCTACATTAACTTTTCAATAGTACACTTACATGTATCAATATTAAATTTAAATTCTTTGAGAATCACTCGCGCCGAGTGTTACATCTTTATTAAAACTTTTATTATAACGGCGCTGCCGTATTTTAAATTCCTGGAATAATCTCTATCGCGACCCGAATGACGTAGATCTAACATCGATAGGCACGAGAGCCTAGTTGGGAAATTAATGGACCATTGCCGTTAGTAACTGCGCGGATGCGCAGCATCCGCAGTTTCGGCGGACACTATAAGTGCCTGTATCACCTGTTACGCCTGTCATTCGCTCTTCCGCGCATCTCCGATATCCCGGGCGTTATTAGCTCCTTCATAGCATTCGCCATATATTTCGCTGTGCTAACATCTGTAACCGAGCACCATCGATTACCGGTGTCTGGCCTTGCGCGAGGAGATCAATGGGAAATTCAGCGCGCGCGAGACGACGCTGCATGGAGTCAATCTCGAATGCCGTACGGCGACGAGAAAAGTACGCCGGGTACGACGAATTGAGTGAAATCGCATTTACGGTCTCAAACATGATCGCCCGAACAATTTGTCACACAGGCACCGCAGAAGTCTTTCGAGTCGAAATGTCTGTAAATCTTTATTGTCCAGCTTTACGGAGCGCGAGATTTTTCATTCGATTATGCGCTCAATCAAGGTGGATTGGGAAAGGACGAAGGCATGTGGGAGGGGAATCGGACACAACAAAAGGAATCCGTCGATACCGTTAAACTTAGTTTCCGTTTCCGGATGCCAATTTTCCAATCCCACATCCCACGATCCCGCGAGTATCGGAACGCGGTAAATCGAAGCCGGTAGTCATCATTAAGAACACTTCGCCGAGTCGATGACATGCTTCGGTCGCCGGCCTCTCCGCGATAGATTTCGAAACGAGAGAGAGAGAGAAAAATTGACGGCCCCCGCCATTGAGGCCGTTCATTTACGCCCCGTCCATTCTGCGAGGCGAACCCGTCGAGGGTCCGTCGAAATCACTTTGCCAAGGAACCTTTGCCAAGGGACGGGCGAGATATCGATCGTCATCTTCGTTCTACACGCCAACACGACGATAGTCAAATAATTTCAGCCGCCCGCCACTCGTGGGTGGTGAGTTCTCTAAATATTTGGCCGAGTATATTTAACGGCATGCACGTGAAAATATGTGTGTGCGTGCGCGTCGCACACGCGGGTTTTGGGACGCGGGAAAAGAGATACAGCAGCGAGCGGATCGGCCGCGGCGGTGCCTGCTGAATCTACGTCGCTAAAAATACGCGTCGCAATAAACTCAAGGGTGACGTCTACCACGCGGACGTATCAACGACGTTTTTAGCTGTCCTTCTTCTTCTTCTTCTTTCAGAACTTTTGTTTTTTCTCTATAATTACCGTTCTGCAGTGCTTACGTTTTTTACTCGCCGCCGTAAACTTGGGTTAATTTCATCACGGCACCCCCATATTCTCGAAGTGTAAAAATAAACACGAGAGAAATAAAAATTTTCGATAGCGTTATCTCTAATCGTAATGAGGTACTTTCAATTTACTCCGATTTTGTCTCCTCCGCTTGAGATGCTTGGTGGCACTTAATTGGAGCGATAATAATTTAGAATTAACGCGTATAGTCGTGTTCATTGCATCAACATTTGCTTTTCGGGCGGGTTTATTATAATAAGATACTCTCCTGCATAACATAACATTAAGGATAATTAATAATAACATCACGTCTTCGGGTTCAAAGTCCTAAAGAACCAAGGCCAAGAACATTATTCTGATCATCCGCATTGTAGTTATACAGTTTAATCATCTATTATAAAAGATTTCAAAGTCGTTCTGATGTTTTCGAACTTGAAGTTATTTTATTTTAATTATAGATAATTTTAATATCCGCATCGAATTTTATAGAGCTCGATATGATAATAAGCGTCCTTAATCCGTTGACGAATCTACGGATAATTAAGTATTTTTACATTTCCTCGATAAAATAAGATCGTAGATAAGACCAAATAAATTCGCTGACAAATATAATGCGATTCTGGTGAACATCTTATGCATGGGAAGTGCTTATACGGCATTCTTGCAAGAATATTCGCACGCTGCTGACGTTCGTAGAAGACGCAAGAAACTGTTCTATCCTACCGAGATGGGAAAACCCGTGAAAACCGCGGTCGATCTACTTTAATCACCCTTTACGACGCGATATAAATAGCTTTCAAGTTATTTATCACCTACTCTCCATAAAAATCTTTTCCCTCGGCCAACGGCGGGAGTACGACTAAAGTTTCTGCGCGAAATCAATTCGTTATTTCGAGAAATAATTATCCCCGAGCTGATAACGGGGCTTTACGAGTGTTCGATTCTATAGGGACAATAAATGATGGATAACGACGACCCTCGCGTGGGAAGGCACGATATGCATCATCGATAATGTGACAGGATATGGATCAGTTATTTCATAAGTGTCAGACTTACAAATCCCTCGCGGAAAAATTCATCTCTTAGTGCGAGCCCTCAGTCAAATAAACATAAAGCAATCGATGGCGAAAATGTGACGATGAAGAACGATACCCTGGATTTCTCGACGCGTTTCCGAGGCCATTAATTCACCCGCGATGGATATTAATAATCGGGACGATCGGGATCAACGGTTAAGTGCCGCGTGCGAGAGGATAATTCTCTACGTGGACGATTTCGCGGCGGCGACCGGTCAGGATTTGTCGTCGGGTTTCTATAACCGTGCCAAGGATGTTTACGCGCTGCCCGGCGAACCGGATGGTACACGGACAGGTCATCGTTCCAGTCTGTATCCACCCACTCTCGACGGTCTGGGCTTGCAGCTGGACGATCGTTCCGGTCTTTACCTTCTCGACTCCGGCGATAGATCGCCTTCCCCTAATCTGCTGTACTCTCAGACGAGCACCCCGCGACGCTCCAGATGTAGTTTGGACGTCGATCAGCGTTCCAGCAGGCGTTCCAGCATGTCGAATCGCTCGAGGACGAACAGCTGCGGCAGACCGACTCCTTTAGGTAGGAGATAAATTGGAAGATGACCGCGAATAGAAGAAAATGTTTTGTTCCTTATAACTAACTAAAGAGAAATAATCTCGAATCAATATTGCCTTTGCAGAGCTTATATCTAAAATGTTTCTTATATCTAACATGTTTCATGTCTTTTCTCGACATCCAAATGTAATCGGATAAAATATTCGACTTTCTCAACTTGATGCGATGCCGTAGCTCGAATGCATTAAAGAAGTATGGAACATATCGCGTTTTGCTTCGAAGCATCCACGAAAAGGATTATCGCTTGTATCGATCAATTTGTGTGGGCGCGCGGAAGACGCTTTAACATTAATACGTGACGACGACGTGAAACTTCAGGAGACGATAGAAGAGCCAGCGTTAGCAAGAAAACCAGGCCACGAAGGGCAAGTACCGCAGTTCCTCGAAAGGATTCCGTCCGCCCAATAAAGGTGGACGTCAAGCAGACGCAGAAGATAATAGAGGACACTCAGCAACTCGAGCAAGCGAGGCGTCATCGACGAATCGCCATGATTGTTCTGGGAACCTTCATCTTTCTTCTGGCAGCCTCGGTGCTGGTGGTGGTCATCACCTTGACGCAAAGCAGCTTTTTGAATCCTGCACCCGACAGCTCGAAAGAGCTGACCGAACGCAATCGTAAATCATATGAAATATGAAAGTTTGAATACTAACTCCGAATCATTGAATATTTTTATTAGAATACCGAGATCATTGAAATTTAAGCTGTATTCAAAGCCACTAACCACGACCCTCCTTATCCTTCGTCGTTTTAAGCTATATATAAATGGTGTTTCTTCGCAGTTAATTAATTTTAGCTTGCGGATTTAACTTCTGTAATATAGTTTCACCGCAACGCTCGATAAGGCTAATTTGAATTTTGCGCCACTTCTGATTCACGAGCGATTAAACGATCTAACTCGCCGTCGAAGTTAAGAAAAATTTATCGCGACACGGGAAGAAAGTAACATAAATCTATGTAGTCGTTGTTCGCTCGTATTGAGAAAACGCGCGGGGGCGCGAGATGCTAGTTTTACGTCGTATATCTTCGAGAAGATAAATTTTTCACTTTACTTACCGGTATTCTTATCGTTTCAGTACGAAAGGAGAACGAGGAGCTGCTGAACTCGCTGAACAGAGATATTTCCGTGCCCGAGAACGTTACGGCGCCTCCCTAAGACGAGGTGAATTCTTCCGGACGGAAATGCACCGCTCGTCCGTCGATCTCGATTTGCTTCAGCCACGCGACACGAGAAGTCTCAAGCGAGAAGCACGATGACAAATTTCACGATGGCGGACAACGTCGTTTAGGAATCAACATCTCCACTGCGTTTCGTTTTACGAAGACGTCCGGGCGATTCAGGGGAGAAATTCCGAGACGACGCGATGGTGAGAAAAATCGAGTAGGTCTCGGATCGGCAGCACGCTCCGATTAGATGTAATTTTAATGCATTTTAACGCGAAAGAGACGCGTCCCTGTATACGACGTACATGTATGTCGCGGAAACGTTATTTGCGACGAGCTCGCGAAAAGTCCGATCGCGACATTCGATATACCATGTTGCGTCGTCGATTGTATTGTTGCCGCGTTTCGAGAACGTCGCGTTGGTATATATATATCTCGTATCGATGCAGATTAGGTGCTTTCAATTCCAGCAAGCTTCGCCAATAAGGGCTCACTTCGATTAGAAACACAAAATCCAGAATACAATCTGAATTATTCGTGAAGCTCGGTTAAATTGAAGCTTAACAGTAACGTAAACTTAATAGTAAAATTTTTATTTGATTGAATAAATACGCTTCACATCGAATTTGGGGCGATTTCTAACGTGATCATTTATCTTTCATTAATCAATTCAGCAATTGTCTATGGTATACGTGACCTTTCGTGATAAATGCGATTAAGAGCGCCTGATCTGCATGGAAGTGAGCTGTAATTTTTCAGGAGCGCGATTACGATCTTTGACGAGAGCTCGCGCAGTTTTGTTGCGAAATTTATTCCGACGATAGGTCGCACACCGAATGTGAACAACGAAGGAACGATTTAGAAGTCACGCGAGAGGATGCGGTGCCATAGACGTGGCATTTAGCCGTCCGTCTGTCGGCGAAGAAATCGGCCGGTGACACGAGACCTCTCGTCTATTTCCTTCCTCGAATACGAAAGGATGTACATACGTGGCCCGAATTAGATATACGCGTGAGAATTGATCTGCGCGTGAGTATCAAACACGCGCTTCGTGAATTTTACGCGGACCCGCGAGAAATCGTATCGTTCAGACAAAGGACATAGGATGTAGATTCCTCGGTGCTTTTTTTACATGTCTTCCAGGACGAGAAAGGACACGAGCTCAACGAAACGGGGGCTCTCGGGCCGCCGATTCCTCGCGCTGACGACGGCCTTTGGACGTTTTCGTGCGTGTAGAAAGCTGTACATAAGAATGTTCGTTATTAACAGTCGTTTGTAGTTACGCGCACCGGGAAGATAATCGAGATAAGGGCCAAAATTGTTGTTGTCAATTGTAAAATAACGTGTCATAAAAAGTGCTCAGATTCGCGCGATATAGGTAGAAGAGAGGGTGAAGAAACGGAGCACTATTGGCAATCGATTAATAAAATGTACGTACCTGCGTGTACGCGCGTGTGTACGTACACCTGTACATTACTGTACGAGTAAGGATGCAATTCACGCTTTGCACGAAACAGCCCAAGTATTTTCATTCTCTTCACTCCGCTATAATTTCCCAGTTCGCTTTGTGACTAATTGCTTAAAGTTTTATCGGATATTTTTCGCTATGACGACGGCGATTCAGCAGAAACTTTTTTCCGATACATTTATTCCGTAATCCCTTTCTATACGAGCATGGAAAATACATATTTGCCGAGCATAATTCGATCCTATAAATCTTATATTTCGCAACTAAGCAATATCTGTAATTTATTATAGCGAAATACGCGAAATGTATATATATTCTGCGTGGTCATAAATTTATTAAATTTTGTACAGGAAACCATCTATTATTTTTATATATACGTCATCGCTACTCGCAGTGAAAACATTCTGAATTTTTATCATTGAGTTTTATCGTTCCGTTTGTTCTGCTCGCGATTGGAATTATTTTAATTTGAAACGTCAGGTCGAATCTGATGTCGCTGAAACGGATGACGTCTCTTGTGACAGGATCAGCGATATATCGATAAAATAAAATATAACTTTCCATATATATGGATACCGTTTATGTACCGATAGATGCAATCAGGTTTATGCTGAAAAATAACCGTCATATTTGGCAACAAAAGTTCTCTGTGACACAACAGAGTCCAATATTGCTAAGGTTGGGAGAAATTTATAGGAATTTCGTGGAAATCTCTCTCGTTCACGAAAGCCTTTCTCGCGTTGAATGCCAGCTAAATTGAATCGTTCAGATTGATATATGAACATTACTTTTTTTAGAACTACGACATTTATTATATTGTTTCTCTTTTTAGAACGCGAAGCGTATTAAGATGTAAACACAATTTTCGCTATATGCCATTTTTATTTGTCTTTCTACGAATGTGATATTTCTCGTGAACTAATTTCAATTAAAACGTATCGTTTTTCGAGGAGCTCGGCCACAGTTTCGAATTTCTGCGAGTTTGCTAGTGATTATAACGCTACGGTTAACGCGAGATGACTTTTTCTATTTGACAATGAGATAATGTACGATAACGTCTATAAATACTGGAGTTTACACGCGCATATATGTATAATTAGTCCCTAATGCCGTTTCCGCGATGTAAAATTAACGCGGTGCGGAATATCGAGCGATTAAAAAAAAAAGAAAATATCGCAGGCGAATTTTAGAATTTTCATGATTATACTTGTTACCAGGCTCACACGTATACGTCGTATAAGATACGCATATATCTTCGAAATATTACGATCGCGCGATATAGATCGATCGCAATGAGGAGCGGCAAGAAGAATTTTCTTCATCTTTCGCGACCAATCTCTTCTACTCGTCAATTTTTCTGTCCTGTGTGCCGAATTAATGCGTCTCTGCGCTGCTCCGTTTCGCTGTCTATTCCTAAAGGTAACCGTCCTTGAAAAATTATGTTTCACTGCGAAAACCATTGTATTATACTTCGCCGATCGCGTGTGATATCCTTTGCTCTATTTAACGACGGGGCCGATGCAGGTTCGATCGATCGCACACATCAAATGACTGTGTCATCGTGGAAGGGAGATCAGTTTGACAAGCACGTTCGCGTCGCACAATCAATCGGCAAACGTAGTCGCCGATCTTTCGCGATATCGCGTAAGTTAGAAATTATCGATAATCGGTTTGTCGGGCTTTTTTTTTCCTAGATAAAATCGGCGCTCGGAGATCGTTACGTTCGAATATGGCGCAGCCGATCTCGCTGATAAGCTTGTCAAGGTAGTCTTAAAGCAGCTCACGGCCGTAGATCTCTCGCCGGAAATACCTCGGCCATATAGTTCTCGATCGCCGATCGACTCGGCGATTCGGAGAAACACAATAAGTCGCTACATGCGTGCGCGCGGTTGCGTAAAAATCTTTTCTATAAAGATATTTCCCTTTTTTACCTATAATTAGCAATTTCTAGGGCCACTTGATAGACGTTATATAGCGGATCTTTTTTCCACTTGTAAGCCTGTCCTCTCGCGACGAGCCTTCACTCCCGTCTTCTTTTTTGCATTACGCTTGGAGATCACTTGGCCTAACGCGAGAGATCCATTTAATAAACCGAGCTAATAAATAGCTTAGTACACGCGCGCTCGTGGCTTTTACCCGGGTAGTCTCGAAGAGATCCCACGAGGGCGAATTCGACGGGGGTACGCTCATATAGTGGACGTTAGGAATCTCGAGGACAAGCCGAGAGAAACAAAAGAGAGAGAGAGAGAATTATTTGCGCTGGTCGCTGGTTTTTATTTCCTACGACACTATGATACCACCGAGGATACGATACAATCGCGCCGACTTTGGCATTTGCGTGACGATTAACGACGAACGCTCCCTTATTGTCGAGGTCGCACCGTTGATTAAAATTTAAGCCCCCCTCCGAGATACACGAGATGCGTGTGCCAAACCTGTGCGTGTGTACAGTACACGCACTCCAGTTCTCTTTGACAATCATAGTGCCGATGTGAGTACGATACGCGATTGTGTGTGCGTTTTTACGAGAGAGAGAGAGAAAGAGAAGGAGAGGGCATTTTCTGCGTCGCGCAGCGCGGCGTGGCGCGTGGCTCGTTACACGAGCGACAAGCCCCACTTCAGTCAGGGAGAAAACGGATTGTTCTCCGATCGCTCGGGATTGCCGAGCAGAAATGACTCTCATGCTTCTCGTTGCTTCTTACTTTGTAGCTTCGTTATTGCGCCGGCAGCTACGCGCATCCGTCGGCGGAAAAAATGTGTTCGCAATAAAAAAAGAAGATGAGGCACCGATAAAACGTACAAAATTTTAACTTCATCTACAGTTCCGAGTACCACCAGGTACCGCAAACAAGAGATTCGCGATTGTAAGAGAGGCACACAGCTCAATATTATCGAATTTCTCGAGAGAGATTTCAAAAATCTAATTACATTGAATAAATATTTTCTGAATGTTTCCATGTAACATTCGCGTAGATGATAATGCCTAAATTTAAAAATGCGAAAAGCATTCGTGTAATTATTTTTCGTGCAGTAAGAAGGAAAACTTATATCTTTAGGCTTAACTTTTTATCCTTCTATTACGTCAAAACCTTTCAGTTATTAAATATATACTGGAAATGCACCTGGTAGATTTGAAAACGATTATTTTTCTTGTTCATTTTTATGACGTGAGATTAAACTCTGTAAAACAATGCATATTAAATAAGAAACCGATTTTGCAGTCTGGATACAACTATAAAATATGCCACGCAAATAAATCTGCGGTTGTTTCTTTCTTTTTTTTTCGGTAAAATTGGGCGACGTGCGTAACGTTAAATAATAAGCGGGATAAAAAGCTGTGTGCAAGGTTTCATCTTGTCGCTCTCGTACGCGAGGCACGCGTGTTTTATTCAAGGAAAAAAAAAGAGTCACGCGAGTGGTGTATTCCGGGCACGCTGACGAGATTTTACGCGAGGGATTGTAGTAGTAATATAATAATCTCGACCACGAGGTGTGTATCATAGCGAAGCGTTGTGAGATGTTACAATGAATGAGATATTATAAAAAGAAGTTTATGTTTCTATATTGTAATAACGTTTATGTATAACGAGATTATTATAATGCAAAAATATACATACTAGTTGTCCGGTTTGCGGTCGCCTCTTTATTGACCTCTCGCCGAATCGCGCCGCCTTCTGAAATGAGTTTCAAAAAAAGAAGAGAGAGAGAGAGAGAGAGAGAGAGAGAGAGAGAGGGGAAATCGCGAAATCGTGCACGGAGACGGCAAGAAAAAAGGCCAAAACTCGATATATCTGCAGATCAAAACGGTGAGTTTCTTTATTTGTCAACGTCAATTGCAAACTTCTACATTGTAGAAATCTGTGGGATCGAGGTGGAGGTTCGATTGGCGTTTGAACCCTGCCTAAAAGGGACGTGTAGAGAGTCATGCAATAGCACGAACATATACTTGACACTCGAGTTAAGGTGTAGCTTATCAAATATAACGCGCTCCGCGCGCGCAACGTGGCCGTAAATGATAAAGGCGAATAACCGACTCTGTCCGCGAATTATTTTCGTAACGAAATGTGATGTCCATTCATTCAACGCTTTCGCTCTGTTTGCTCATCAAACATATCTAGGTTCTTCGGTCTACGTAACAGGTGGATCGCGTCGGCAGGATCAAGAATAAACTTTCCCTTCCCTTCTTGCCCCTTGGGCGCGGATCTGCCATCAGGTCGATCGTGAGAGCAATTTGGGATTTTCCACGTTTCGGACGACCGTTTATTATTGACGACCATTTACACGCGGGAGCACGCAACCCGGGTACTCCGGGTAAGTATATAATCACGCATGTCGGAACACGTGCGCGAGTGTTGTCTTTAACTCTAATAACGGGCCAGTTATATTCTACGCCGAAGCTATTTCTATAACGTACGTATGTCTCTCACCCTGCCTGAAAGGGAAATAAAAGTTAGTCATGCCACAGTGCTCGTCTAAATCCTTCTTGCATCAGGGCCATATAGGCGTGCGCGCGTATACCCGTTTGAGAGTTACGCGCGGATCACACGCGCTATTCTTCAATAACGTTTAATCGTAAGCGTTATATCAAGTGTTGCTTTGCACCCTGCCTTAAAGGGATAAGAAAGATGTTTCTAATCGCCATAGCGTCGCGCCGAACAGGACTTTGCTATTTCCTTCCTTATATCTTTTGCTTCTTCAGAGATTCTTTGCACCCCACTCTCGCTCTCTCCATTATTATTTTATTTCTTATTGTATCTTCAATTACTCTTGTTGTATACCACCAGAGATTCTTCACGTTCAGATCACGTTCAAGATGCAAAATTGTTCAAGGATATATCTTATCGCGAAAGATACATTATCGTGCGGAATTAAAGGCGACGGATTCTTTCCGCGTGGAATTTTCCGCGAAAATCTTTGTGCCTGTTCGGAGCTCGGCCATAGCGACAAATAAATACTTTACGATTAATTAAAAACTATCAGTCTCAAGCTTCAGTTTAACCCTGCCTAAAAGGGAGTAAAGGTGGTCATGCAAGATTGCTCTTCCATAATTCGGGACCCTAGCTATAACGCACGTTGAATGCACGATGACTTCCGAAGGAACGGCTCCCCTTGAAACGATTCTTCGGAAACCACCGGACACATTGTAAATTCGCATTATTCGGCCGAGATTTCTTCGCCAAATCGAGATTTTTCGCCGATCGAGTTAATGTTTCAAAGTCGACCGAGCAAACAACGACCATATACAGTCGCCTATACAAGTGCTACAAAAGAAAACGTTCAGCGAGCACGGCAGTTGAATGATCGGTTCTTAAAGAACCATATTTGTTTTGACACATAAAAATACACTCCGATAACAGACAACTGCTGCAACTGCTGCGTACGCTGAAGTCTTCCACTCGACTTGCGTGCAATATGTGTATAAATAAAACTCGGCTTTCACGTGTTGCTATAATGATAACAAAGAATAATAGTGCACAATTTACGTCATTATTATCCTGTCGAATTCTGCGTAATTCGACACGCGTTTTTGAATTAAGGTGTTTGAACTGTGAGATATCACTCTCGAATTAATAAAACGTTTACACAACTGACAGGCACCTATTTGCGCGTTTAAAGTGTAAATTAATGCAATCCAAACAGATATACGTCATTATCGCGAGTTCTCTCTAATTATAACATCGCACACGATGATATCTAGATCGGGAAAATGCTCCTTTGGCGATCTCGTTACTTCAATCGAAGCGCCTTCTTCAATGGAATATAAGAGCCCTTTCTTAACTATTAAAATCTTATAAACTAGCTTTTCTCTGAGGAATCTTTTCTCCGTATTCTAATAATTAAATTGTGATTCAAATTCCATTCATTCAGTTTCAGTAAAGTGTAGAAAATAAAAAAAATTCGTAAAGCAGATTCAAATCAAAACGCAAGGGACTGACTCTGTAACTAGCAACATAGAGAGTCTTGAAATTTTCTTTCGAATTTTTTCTATGAAGGAGCGTGTAAATCGTCGACCTTTGACAGGGAATGCTCTCCGGCTCTCTCGAATGATTTGCAAACGGTAATAATTCGTTTCTATTTAAATTTTGCGAGCGAAAACGTCTCGTTACTAATTAATTACGTCAATCCGAATGTGTAATTACGAAATACGTCAATCCGAATGTGTATTCAAATATTGCAATTGATCTTACCGAGGATCGTTGGAAATATCTCTCGCCCTCTTTTATGATCGATCCGGACGTAACCGGAATGGCGATCAGCCGCTTCAAGGTTCCCTGTCAAACGTCCCATAATCCAGGAAACGCGCATCGCTTATTTCTATCGTTTAAAAATTATCCCGCGTGAATTCTTCATAAGCATCGCGGCGGCCTTACTTGCGCCTATCGAGCAATCATAATCCTAAGCAATCGTACTTATTTGTTGGATTTGCTGCTCGCCTTTCGCACCGCTCTTCTTTTTTATCTCCTTGTAGTTGAGCTCCTCCTGAATTTCCAGCAGCGACTTGCCTTTGGTTTCGGGAACGATCAGCGCGATGAAGAATACGCCGATGTAGCAGCTGGTGGCGAACCAGCCGAAGGCCGCGTACACTCCCAAATTGTCGGAGATGACTTGATACATCTTGGAGACGATGAAGGCCAGCAACGAAGACACCAGATTGGCCAACGACACGGCGGCGCCCTTGACATTTGTCGGGAACAGCTCGCCCAGCATCATGTAGGACAACGGATTCAGGCCCAAAGCGATGATAAGCTCGTAGAATATCACGGAGGAGTGAAGCAGCCAGCCGTATCCGAGCGTGTCCACGCCGAATTGGCATTTTACGAGATAAAAGACACCAGCGATGGTCAGGGCGACTCCAGCTAGAAAAGAGGTGGTGATGAGTAACGGTCGTCTGCCGAGTTTATCGACCAGAACCACCGCTCCGAGGCCGGCGATCAGTTGAAGTGCGCTCAACAGGATGACGGAGTTACTCGCGGGCAGACCCGCGTCGCCTTCCTCGAGGATCTCCTGAGTGTACGATTCGACCGCGGCGATGCCGCTGAACTGAAGGACGAACTGCAGGCCGATACTGATGATGACGGCGCGTCGGTTTCCAGGCGTGCTGAACAGATCCCAGAATCGGCCGCGATCGCTGAGATCGCGCACGACTATCTTCTGCATCTGCTCCATGTCCGTCTCCAGCTGATTCTGGGAAGCGCAACGTTTCAAACGTTTCAGGTTCGTCCACGCGTTTTTCTGGCGATTCTTCATCAGTAAGTAATACGGCGACTCGGGCATCCAGGGAAAGCTCATGAAGAATACCAGCGGGATGAGCAGGCAGCTGTAACCGAGCAATTGATAGGAGACAAACGGACCGATCGCGTGAGCGTACAACTCTCCGAAAGTCACCATCAGCTTGATGAAAGAGCCGAGGGTACCCCTGATCTCCTTGTCGGCGATCTCGCCGATGTACATCGGACAGATGACGTACGCTATGCCCTGGCCGATACCACCGATACCGCGAGCGGCGTAGAGAACGTAGGGATTCCACGCTATAATGATCAGAATGAACGAGAGAGACAGAGGTATGCCGCCTACCAGCAGGCTCATCTTGCGACCTAGCCGATCTACGATCAATGCCGCCACGATGCATCCGGGAATGGTGCCCAAAAGGTAGAAAGAAGCGATCCAGGAGGCGTCGTCGGACGTTATCGGGACATGGGAATCGGATGATTTCAGTATTGGCAAGGTGGGTGACGTCCAGCCTATATGAGATCCGGTAGCTGCCAGCGATAGAGTAGCTGTGGTAAAATTGAACGGATAAATTATAATTTACACTGTTATCCGCTGATTTTCTTGTATGTAGGAATTATAAGAAAAAATGGACTCTAAAAAAGATTTATAGATGAAAAGGAAGATTAATTACATAATTTTCTCTAGATAATGTAAAATAATCGGTTTAAATTATTATTTACGTATAGAAAATGTAGATATAAGTTATGAGAGAGAGAATGATCATGCCACACATAACTATAACTATAATAAATAAAGGTAGCGTTTACGATATAAATGCGAATCTCCCTCTAATTTGGCGAATGCTTGTGTTCGATCTTACGCTTCGGACTTTGGATACTCTTGACTCCAAAATCTTTTCAAGGTCTGCGGTTACAATTTCAACACAATAATCAAACTGATGTTTATCTTGTATCTTGTAACCATCTATATAAGCCGATATAAAAAATGGGAATAATATTTGCATTCTTAATAATTTTTCTAAATTTGCTCTAAATTAATTATGTAGATCGTAAATCTTTATTAGTACCTACAGCGCTTTAAAGTTCAAATTATTGACAAGATGTTATTATTTTAAATCATTTATATCAATTTCCATTAAAAAAAATTAAAAATAATTTATATTTATCTACCTGTAATCGCTGCTAGATATTGAGGCCACCGTTTAACACGGGATTGCTCCATCTTTTATTTCTTCTTATCCTACGACTGAAGAAAAAACCAGAACGTTTTTATTATTAAAAAAGTACGGATGCGATTTTATTGAAATTAAATACGATATTATAAAAAATATGTATATTCTTTCCCTCTAAACACATATATGTATAATATGTAAAATAAAAATAAAAACTTTCGCGCATCATTTACCGCGCTTGGTTCTTAGCCCGTTTTCTATATTCGTACATACATATATCTATGTTCTATTATTTTGTATAAAGAATTTTGAGCAAAGTAGATTACTAATAATTTATCAATATTGGCAGTATAACATGATAATTTACCAGACACACTTTAAAATATCATGTTCACAGTAAATTTTACAAATTAAGGGCTTAGTTTCACTTCTGTCCCTTAAGCTGTTTGTGCAGAAAACTTTACGAATTTTTAATTGATATTTTGCTTACAGAGATAACGATGAAACGCACTAATGCTACCAGAGAAGATGGCGAATTTCCACGAGCCTAACGACACCCGAATTTTAATGCATTTCAGATGGAATAAGAACGCATTCATGGCGCCGTAGATTATATATGTCACTTTATCAGCGCTTTCCTTATCAGCGATTCGTGTCAAATCTGTCGCTCTCTGTCCCCACTTGTTCCACATGAGAATGTGTTTGCTTATTACTAGTAAGTTAGTTCGGACGAAGGACAGGTAGAATAAACATCGAATAATTTTTCTGTGCACGTGCCATCCGCAAATTATTACGCATGCTTGATTATTCGAGATAGCGACTTAAATTTAACCCAATTAACATGAAGATATAATACAGCTACGATGTAATCCTTCGAGTTGTGCAATGTAGGCACGTTTCGAAGAGGCAATATCTAATATCTCGTGGCGTTATTGTATCGGTACACTTACTCGGTACGAAATGGCATTGTGCGTCTCTCGATTATCTATTTCATTATACGACAAGTTAATAGAATTGATGATATAACGATTAATATGACAATAAGATTTGTAACTATTTTATCGTACGTTGTTGCAAGATTTTCGAAAAATAAAGCGAAAACATTGGCGCCGCGTTCGCGGCACTTGTGCTGACAATTTCTATTTGACATTTAAATGCCATTTTAATTAATTCGAATGTCGCAATATTTATACGAGAAAGATTAAACATACTGGTAACATTCTATATTATTTAATTGCGTTAAGTATCGATCGAATGAGATTTTATTAGAAAACTGCGAAAACGCGATCATTGCGTATTTAATTGTTTCCGTTATACAAATAATAGGATTAATATCTTATATTAATTACAGGGAAAATCCTATACACGGAGTTATTTATAAATAATGCCTTTTTGTTGCCGCTGATTAGCGGCAGGTAACGAACGTGCAATAACAATTTTACAAGCTTATTGGTATAAGTAATTAATCACTTTACAGCATCGCAGCTGTAATATAATAGTCTCCCTTGGAAACAACGCTCTCTCTGGAACCGTTATGGAATAACGGACAATAACAGTGGACAACAAAGAGAGCATTAAAAAAGCGAAATTATTATTTTATTGTAACGCATATTTTTTAAACCGTTGTTTACATTCTACTTGCGTGAAAGGAAATAGATTCTCGTATAGGCGTATATGCGATTCTCGAATATATGAATTATAATAAGAGCACGCTATTGGTGTATTATCGGATTGACAAAATATAGCATGCGCAATTGCAAATTTTTATTTCATCATCCCAGATAACATATGTGTCTAATGAGACACTATGTCTCACAGATATGTTTTTTTAAGAGAACGTTACACGAATGTCTTTCTGGTTGTTTTATAAAATGTCTTCGATGTTTTTAATGAAATTTTAAGGCGTCTCTTAGATGACTCCAACACATAATGTCTTCCCAATCTCTTTTTTTGATTGTCTTTTTTATCTTTTTACTTTCTACTTTCCTATATATATCTTCTTCTTTTTAAATAAATTATTGCACAATCGTAATCTACTTCGAGATTTGTATTATCCGAAATTATCGTACATAGAAGGAAATTGTTCATAGAAGGAAATCAATAATGAAATTTTTGTGCGAATTATAGCAATGCGTTTTCGTCAAAATCGTTGTTTATAAACTTTTCTCCGCGGAATCTTTTCTTGGCCACCTCTAAATCAAACGCATGAAACGCACAAGGCAATCGTTATCGCGCCTTGAAGCCTTGATAATTCCCGTCGCAAATATACGCTTTACACATCCGTATGCAAACGTAGTGCATTGCAAGTTTTGTGTGTGAAAACGCGTGGATATTCCTTATCGGCCTAATTAGCCTGCAGAAAGTACATCACGCGTTTTCGCAATATTGTTAGAAAATCTTATAGATGATCAACAACATTTCTGGAGTGTTTCCATAATGCAAAACTTTTAATTTTAGAAATTAAATCAAATAAAAAAATAGATTTGCAGGAAAAAAAAGAAAGATAGAGAGAAAGAGATAGAGAGAAAGAGAGATTGATAGATTGAGTAATATAAAAATAGTAATATAAAAATAATTATATAAAATAAGTAATATGAAATAAGTGATATAAAAATAATAATATAAAATAAGATAAATTATAATTACTATAGTTTACCATAAAGATTAACTGTTATTTTCATGTTGCCACCTCGCACTGCCAATGCCTGCACTGTAAGTGCTTGCATCGCAGTGCAATAGCGATATTTATACCGCGCCGCTGAATAACGATCTATTTGTATGTATCTGCTTTGCCACTTGCGTTGAGCCTATTGTCATTATATATTCTATATTCTATATATAACCAGAATAATTAATGATTTTACAAAGCATCGGATATCTTCCGTATTCTTTTGGGCACATGT